TAAATTTATGATGCAATAATTTTAAAACAAAATAGCACCTATGAAAATGTTTCAAATACAGCTTCTATAATTCTTAACAGATTGTATTAACAGTGTATAAGCAGTTTATAAGTTTATATAGATAATAGGTTTAGGAAAACATTCACTAACAATCCATTTTTCTAATTCAGGTCTTAGTAGCCTCAACAGGATTTTTTACCTTTGAAAACATCTTGAAAAAGAACATAAAGACATGTGACAGCTAAGTTCTCCCTCTCTGCCTTTGTCTCTCTGTCTCTCTCTGTCATACACACACACACACACACACACACACACACAGTATGCATGTGATTCAGAATATATTCATGAGACACATATCTTGAATCGCAGGATTGTTCTAACAGGGACTTTATGTAGGTCAAGTCAACTTTACCAACAGGAAGAATGGAGTCTGTACTTTCCTGACTAACCAGTAGCAGGAAATGAATGATTTCTCTAAAAAGTCGATCTGTTCCACTCCATTTAGTCTCTCTGTATGTTTTATTCATGCTGCTGTTTACTGAAGATGTATACATGGAACTCAAAGTGATCTCTCAACTTGCTGAAGACTATTTTCAGAAGCGGGGAGCCACAGAGACATGATAACGGAAGAATCTATTTAGATATCAGGTTTTGTTCTGAGTTTATGACTCTTTTTAAGCTATACGGAACTATCAGTTATATAGTTCCATTGAAACATTTTAAACTGTTACAAAATTATTAAAGTTTAAACTAACATAATAATCTTTCAAAATTTTATGCCATTATTATGGCAATTTACACATGGGTCTGACTCACACAGTATGTGACAAATGCTATGTTGACATCTGAAGCAGAATGAAATCATTGGTGATGACACAAAGGATGAGACAGTTTCAATGTTTAAGGTGGGAATGGGAAAATGAAAACATGCCTTTCCCAGACTTTTAAAGTGGTCTTCTCCGATTTCTTTATTTTTCTCAGAGAATACCATAGAGGAGGAATTTCATTCATCACTGGTAATACAGAAGATACCACTGCTTTTACAATAAAAAGATAATTTCTTAAAGTTATCATTTCTACTCTCATTTCTCAAAACCAGAAAAGTTTACCCATAACAACTATGTGACAAAACATGACCACACTGAGCTATATCCAAGTCAGTGTCTGTGTGTCTGTCTGTTTCTCTTTCTCTCTCATATTACTAATTTCATGCTTTCATCTTTCTCTTCCCCCAACCTCTCTCTTCGGCTTATCTGTGCTCTAATGATGCTGGTCTCTGATTTAGGAACTTCTGAGCATAATGAATCACCACCACAAACCTGTCAACCAGAAAGGCCCTATAAAAAAGCGTAATAAAATAATGAATTCTATTCAAGAACAGGTCTGAAAACGGTTTGATAAAGAGTAGTAAAAAGTACCCTGAACCATGTTTAGTACATAGTAGACACTGAAGAATGTTAGTTTATTTTTCCTTTCATTCTTCCTGAATTTAAAAGTAAGGTAAATGACCTCCAAGAAAATGAGGCAGCTTGCCTAAGGTCCTGGGGAAATCAAGGACAAGGCTCTCTCCGCACAGAACCGGGTCTCTACCCTTAACACCTTCTATTATGCCCTGGTTGCTCCCAACTTGATGACATGTGGTAACATCTTGAAATGTGCCCTGCATTTTAATATTTTCACTTATATCTACCTGAATCTTTTGTTCAAATGGCAGTTGATATAAACCTAAATTCCTTCTGAAGCCTGAGAACTTTTTTTTTAATCTAAAAGTTCTATAATATAATTGCAGCATAAACAGAAAATTAGGTTTAGAAATTAATCCCACAAAAGCATTAAGGCAGCACTGGCAGACAAGCAATGGGAGGTTGTTCCAAACCTCACAGCGGCACGTGAATACCACCAGCACGGTCATTAGCACCTACTGAGATTCAGAGAGAACGTGTCACAGTGCCAGAACTAGAAACTGGTTTGTTCTCATGGATGAAATATCACGTAACAATCATTTTCTCAGAGCACAGAGTGGGTTTCTAAATAGCTCTCCGTTGAATTCTATTGCTCTCCACCAATCTGTTCTGGGATCAGTACTTTACACCAAGGAATTAGGCAATGATCAGGAAAAGCAGAACAATAAGCACTATAGGCATTTTCTCCCCTACACTTTCTAAAAACAGTCATATTTCAAGTTTTAAAGTTAAGACTGTATTATAAAAGGTACTTTTTACTACAGGATGTCTTATTCCTCTTTGAGAACGTTTTAATTTATACTGGTATTTCAGACAGTGTTCGGTCACTCTTGGGATACCTTCTCTTTGAAATCTTACTTAAGACTATATATAAGGGTGGGAAGGGATAGACTGGGATTTCAAAATTGTAGAACAGATAAACAAGATTACACTGTATAGCACAGGGAAATATACACAAAATGTTATGATAACTCACAGAGAAAAAAATGTGACAATGAGTGTGTATATGTCCATGAATGACTGAAAAATTGTGCTGAACACTGGAATTTGACACAACATTGTAAAATGATTATAAATCAATAAAAAATGTTTAAAAAAAAGACTATATATAAGTGTTTAAACTCATAGAAAAGGTCTGGAAGGATGATAAAGACCAAACCAAAATTCAGTTATCCCTGTGAAGGGGAAGCTGATGACCAAGGGTTGGGGATGGAGGAGACTCATTATCACGTACTACTTAATACACTTTGAATTGCCCTTAAGAAGAGTTTTTTTAGATGTACTTCAGCATCCTAAAGAAAGCTAAAGAATATAGACTCCTCCATTAAGTGCTCTCTGCTGACTTCACACAAAGTCCTAGGAAATAAACATACACCTTTTTGAGTGATAATATTTTCTAATTAGGAGGCCCTGAATCTTTCATCTTACTTTCCTTATGTCATTTTTTACATGTGGGATACATTACTCTTAAACATATACAAATCCTAAAAAACAAACAAACAAAAAACCATATACAAATCCTCAAAGATCAATGAACTTCCAGGAATAATGCCTTTAAAAGTATGTAAATGAAAAGTGAAACAGATGACTTAGAAAGAGTCATAAATAGTTCATTTCCTTTTCTGAACTAGATTCCCACCATTTATGGTGCTATTACTGGTATGTACCACAATCAAGCACTGTATTGAGCTGTTCAAAGAAGGCTTTTTCGAAGCATGGCAGTCAACTCACTTGCTCCAAGCCAAAAATGGAATAGGAGAAATCCATATTTTAAGACACAGTAAGGGCGTGTGCCTGGCGGCAGGTTTATTTTTAGCAGTTATGTTGGGAAACTCCCTTTGTGAATTCAAGTAGGAAAAAAACAGTAACAGAAGGGCAACTACATGAATTATTTCATTCTTACAATAGCTTTGTCCAATATCCACTAGATATGTCTTTTGAAAGAACCTGTAGTTTTAATTCTTACAATCTCCAAAGGCTTACCTCTACATTCATAGATATAACTAAAGGAGTTCCTGGAAGATTTCATGGCTTATTTTTATCAATTTATTTAATCAATAAATAAATTTTAAGTATGCAAAATCTCAAATAAGTGCAGTAAGCAAAAAATAATTTTAAGAAACTGACAGGGGTCCCAGAGAATGCTAACTGAGAACTGGGAATGGGACTACAACTCTCCGATTATTCTCACTTTGTGATGCCCAGAGGGATAACATACATGAAATGAATTCTGCCATCCATCAAGTGATAGCCTATCAATATTTTTCTTGGAAACTGTTCATGACTGATATGCTTAAAAAATCAGCAGCAAACCATGTTGTGGCATTTGTGTCAAGAGGAATACATTTCTGCTGTTGAATCCTAGATTTTCTGTTGGTATAAATGTTCTTAACCCTTGGTTTAAATCTTTTTTTTTAAAGTATGAATGTCCTTTGCCTCAGACTGATTTGCTATGGAAAAACAAGTTCCTGAGTAAAAAAGCTTACCACCTGTCAGGGCTCTTAGCCCTCTCCACCTCAGTCTATGGAGAGAAAAAAGTTAGAAACAACTGTTTAACTAGCAAGAACAATCACAGGGC